ATAGAAAAATGTGAAAATTTTATGTTTGATAACTTGTATAACATTTTCTTATTTATTATCAAAGAAATCCATATTTTGGTAATTTCTCACTAAAATTTGCTTATTATTCTAACGTTACAATTTTGTTAATTGCTCAAGTTATCTTGCTTCAAATTTCGTGGAAAGCTGTTCTTGATGAACTGATCAATTGACTATTTCGATTCCTGCTGCACGTAGTCAGTCATATCCGTATTAGTTTGAGCGCGCATGACCCACGTGGAGAACATCGTTATTTGGCATGATGTTCAATCATGCGACACTCTGCTCCCGACAATAAAACGCGAATCCTATTTATAATCACAAACAGGCGAACCAATGCGGCCGCGCCGATGCGAGGGACGCAGGTGTTATCCTGCACTGAATCGCAACCTGCGCTTCAATGCGAGTTATCATTCGGTCGGAGATGCATTGTTTGACCGCGTCAAAAAAGTTACGCCGATAACGCGCTAAGCGCGCAATACTGCCGACAAATTCGCAAATTGGACAAAATACAGTATGAACGGTACAATAGAATAGCTCTCTCGCGATCGGTCAGCTGTGCCGCAGATTCCAGGCGAAACGTTAGAAAAGGGCGCGAGGTTCATTTCGAAGAGCCAGTTAGTCGGCTACAAACGAAACGTCAAATATCAATTGTCGGCGAAATTAATTACGGGTTGCAATTAATTTGTCAATTAGATCACGGCCGGGATCCATTTAGATGTAATCTGCTCGCTGGCAGCTCACCCTCTTTCCGCGTTTCCTCCGCTTTGGTATCTGCTGCGCAGCATCCGACGCGAACACACAAAGAGGCCTGGCATTTGCTTCGAAGCAGTCGACAAATTAGCCGTATTAACGGGCACAAACCGCGAACGCGCAGATTTCGCACAGTTAGCATGCAGTTCCCCACTTGATATCCACGCGAAGGATTATTCAAGTTAACTCGAGCCAGCGCGCACTCGTAGTAATTAGAATAACTGAATTATGTAACGAAAATGTCGAGAGCTCATAGCCGAACCGTCTTCGGCTCGTGCTTTGACGATTTTCGTGCTCGGTTGATGAAATCATCCGCAATAATATGCAAAGAATCAATTGCGAGTTTTAAGAGCTATGAAACTTCTTCCAGAGAAAATCAAAACAACGTAAAATTTATTAAGCTCGATAATCAACGACTAGCGGCATTAGAGCACATTCGGGGATGCATAGAACTGAATGTACAAATATGAATATCTTACGCGAGAGAGATCCGGATGTCTATAGTTACAGGATCACAATCGGCATTAACTTGCCGATGGGTAATCAAGTAATGAATACATCGTCGGCAAAGACCGTACGTATATAAATCATGCCGGGGAGAATGCCGGGGGCTGGGCGAGCCCTTATCTCCAATCAGTACATTGATTGCACGCAGGCAGGTCAAATACCGGCAGCGCCACTCGGCAGCTCGGCCCTAGCACGATAGCTTATTCAATTTCCGAAACGGCATTCACCATTCAATTCGACGGTTATCAGCCTGCGCCCATCCTCTATCTGGGTTTTGCGTGGCTCTCTAGAAAGCCGTTCGTCCTAAAAGAAAAGGCCTCGGGGTTTATCAATGGGCATAAATTGAGATGATCAAGATTCCAGTGGCGCGCGGTCGTTCGGTATTCTTATACGAAAGCGTCATCTTCGAACTACTATCACGATTGACATGTTACGCCTATTCTCTGACGTTATCTCGTTGTACATCAACTCCGTACGAGTATAAACTCGTGGAAAAAAAATATTCTCCACCGTGCAAGAGATATCTCTGACGTTATTTCGATAAGACGAAGTTCTACCGCGGGTACAAGGTGGCATTATCATTCGGCGCATTTGCCACGCGCGTGGCTATCATTCAGCATCTACCGGATGGTAGCGAGGCTGCGCACTTTCCCGCAGTGTACATAGATAATCGAGCTTAATTAATTGCTCGTGATGCGCGCTCGGGGCTCAGCAAACACATTTACTTATTACCATCCATCTTGAGCGGTGCCTCTCAAGGGGATCGATTTTCCAAGTGCACGCGGCTGATGACACAAATTGCCAAAGGGTCGACGCTCGATCGTAACGCGATCGTTAAATAGAGGCGCGGCTTTTTCTCCGTGATCTCTCTACGAGAGCACGACGACGTCCCCCGTTGAAAAAAAAACATACTTAATTATCCAGCTTCCTCCGGTGGCGCATCAAAAAGGACGAGAGTTAATCGCGAACCCAAAACGACTTTTATGCATGAGGCCGACCTACAACTATCCGTCTCCATTCGTCCGTTTTTGCATATAATGCGTACGACGCGTGCGATGTTACTTTAATCTAAAATTCCTTTGCGAGGATAACGCGCGTCGACATATTCAACAAACGTCGCTGCCAATTAGCACGCAGAAAGTATCAGTTTTCAATTTTAATAACGCTTCTCTCCCGCAAACATTCATCGTGCCCTTTTCACTCTTCACACTCTCATAAATTGCAAATAGAGATATCATTTTAATAATAAAGCAAATAACACAGGCTTTCAAATGATGGGGCTAATGCATATCTCGCAAACGTGCGACGGCGTCTCGCTGCGATACCGTGGCACGCTGCCAATTGACATCACCTCGCTGTTGCAATCGAGTGACTACCACGACCACTGGGCACGACGACGAGATTACGCGGTAGTTAATAGTCGGCCACGGCATGTCTCACCCGAGCGGAAGTCTCGCTCACCTGATCGTTATTGACTGGTACAGATCCCTCGGGTCGTAAGTGACATTTACACGATGCATTCAACGTTAAACTCGTCCGGAGAGACAAGGCCGGGAGACGGAGCGTCGTATCTCAGTTCCGGTATCTATACGGACGCCGGGTTCCCCTGACAACGAGGCAACAACAAACGCCTAATGGCCAGTTCTCGACTCAAAGTTTAATTTCCTGACCAGCGGACAGTGCTTAAAGTGACCTTCTCCCTCTCCCTCTTCCCCCCTCTTTCTCGCTCGCTCACTCTCCCTCTTTCTCTCTCCATCTCGATCTTCCTCTTTCTCTGTTTCCCCCTCGCTGTCTTGCTTGTCGTCACCGTTTTCTCTCCTTCCGTCGTTCCCTCGCGCACGCCGTTCTCGGGAATCGCGACCGGACGTACAGCCGCCGCTATGAAATATTAAAGAGTTAATGGCGACCCTCTTCACAGAGTCGCGAGTAATTACCGCCTGACAATCGTGTATCGCTGTATTAATCGATAGCGCAGAGTTTGATCCCACGAGACGTAGTTAATTGCTCGTATAGAGACGTGCAATCTTTCGTGTTTTCTATCTCTTCCACAGACTCTTCAATCTCGCGTTTTCTATCCTTTCGGGACTCACTTATACGAATACGATGATGCGACGCCGTTAGAAAATTTCCTCGACGAGGGACAGCAGTACGTGCACAAGCATGATATGGTTGCGTTATATCGATCTCGAAGAAGAGCTCCATGAACCCGGAAAACACCCCATGCTCGCTCGTTCGACGTACATACACTACGTCTACGTGATCGTAGCACTGACCCCGACGTAACGTCGCTCCTCTTTGTGCCCGATATGCATGCGCGCAGAAAAAGTTTCGGGGTTGCCGAGCACGTTCTCACCCCACCGCATATCTTTCCCTCGTGATTCTTATGGAAGTGTATAATAAAAATAAAAGAAACAGAAGACAGATGGTCGTAGTACAGAGTTGTATATGTTACAAATCAGATTTCCCAGTTTAGTATCCGTTACATATTGTCACCTTTTCAGTCTACACTCGAACGAAGTCATACGTGTTTTATGTTAATGGAAATTTAATTTTACGATTAAAAAATTGATAATTGATAGTAATGTAACACTGCAATTCTCTAACTTTTGTTTTTTTGTAAATTTATTTCGATAATAACTATGCTCTCGTATGTATATTATTTCTTTCTTGGTGCCATGGATGGATGTACGCGCGTTCGTGTATTACAGATGTTTGAAAAGTAAAATCATGTCACCAGTAAAACATAAGGTCTTGTGACTCTTTTGCGTCTGCGGCAGTCCAGCGATCCTCGGAAGAAAATTGGTCAGAGAGAAAGAATCTGCAAGGCCAGCAGTAGGATAATACCAAGCGGCATTTGCGCCAACGGAGATACGGAAGTGAGAAAGAAGAGGGAGGGTGGGAAAAGGGTATATTGTGCAAAGAGTTCAAAACCGAGCGAAGTCGATGGAAGGAATGAAAGCGGGACGAGAGAGGGACACGGAGAGACGGGAACAAGAAGCGGGAGGAGTGGAAACTGGGATCGAAGTACGGTCCTGTGTCCCCCACGTCATGAATCATGCATTCTCATCCCCCTAGGAGCGAACTGGAACGCGCTACGGCGGTGCGACCCGTCCGAGAAATAAACAATGTTATTTGTTCGTTGGGATCCCGACCCATCCGCAGCGGTCCAAAGGACTTCTAGCAGGACCGCGACGGAAGGACGAGTGGCGGGTTCTGTGCTTTCGTAACCCACAACGATGGGATGAGAAACCCGGCTACTCTCCTCCTCGTCCTCTTCGCCCTTTCTCGAGCGCTTCTGTCACTCGTTCCATCTCGTTCCCGTCTCCGACTCTCTCTCTGCGCTCTACTCGCGAGCCCACGCGCACTCTGACAGCCAGAACTGTCAACGGCAGAGGAAGCTCTCGCAACCACTGATGGTATTTGAACGGGGCCGAAGTGACACGAAGGACGAGCGCATACATGCCGGACAAATAACGATACTTCCGCTTTCTCGGCAAACTGGATATTCCTGTTCCAATCCCCTCCCTCCCGCATGTCGGTTTCGTCCTTCGTCGTCCATGGGCTTTCGTTCTTCTTGCTCCACTTCTATCCTTTCAGTATAAGGATAAAAGCAGAAATAGAAAGACGAAAGCCCGCGACTGTTTGTAAATATGAGAAATATCGTAGGAACCAGAGACGCCTTATTGCGAGAAGACTAACGTGTCGTTTTATTTCTGTTGCAGATGAACCGTCCTATTCAAGTGAAACCAGCGGACAGTGAAAACCGCGGAGGTAAGAACAATCGATCCAATATGTATCTCGATATCGAAAAAATTATATTACTAATTTAATTATAGCGAGAAATATCAAAAGTCTTATCAAATTCTATTAAATTTAGCTAAGCAATTATTTAAAAGAATCGTAACGCTGTCAAAGTAACGTTTCCATTTCTTACTAGCCACAATATTTCCACTTTTACAAGTAAAAATACTCGGTACGTCGCAAGAGATCGTACTCACATATATTTTTGGGATATTATCCAACGGCAAATAATTAAATATCTCACGAACACATGCGGTTCGTTATAAATTAATTAGAAATTATGTGAATGTTTCATGCTGGAAACATACTTCTCGTGTTAGTTATAAGTATGGGGAAACAATTTTTATTCCGCGCAGCATATGTACTACGTGTCTTTAACAGCATTATATTCCATATCAATCGTGTACAAGAGTATTATGTAATAAACTACAGATAATTCGCAGTAATAGTGAGTCGCGATAACACGTTCATCGTATAAAATTCATACTCGCGCCGGTGGCGCGATAGACTATACGATAAAAAATGTAACACCGCGGTACCACCCGCCCAGTCGCGCTGATATTCATCGGCTCGTTCTCTCTACAGAGTTGTCGTGCGCGCGGATCCTCTTCGCGCGGCGCGGCAACCGCGCCGTATCTTCCCCGTGCACACCTTGTGCCGAGAGCCAATTTTATTAATTACGTGGAATTTTACAACTGGCGATGGCCGTCATGTTGACATACGCTTATCGCCGCGGTGGCCGCAGGTCATAAATTTTGCGTCACGGTAGGATAACGGGGCACCCACGTATATATATACATGACGAGGCTTCAGATAATCGAGGGACAAATTGTCAATTGATCATTGTTTTTAATGAGTCGTCGCTCGCGCTCATGCCCACGTTCGTGCTTTCTCCAAATCGCGTGACAATACGCCCATTGTCGTCCCGTTGATCTATTTCATACATTATATAAATATACAATTTGGCCAATATTATTTGAAGGGAAAAAAGGCGCGATCCCTAATCAGCGCGATTTCAAGTATTGTAAAATAGTATCTGACGCATATCCATCCGTTCATCCATTCGCTCGTGTTTTCGATTCGGCTCATACGTTAATTTCTATAAAGCATCTCGGCAAATATAGCTTGTATCATCGGAGCCACGATTTAATTAAAAATATGGTATTTATCTTTGGAGGCGGGTCGTAACCGATCGATACTGTTCCATCCGTTCGGCGAGCGCCATCGCCGAAGCTCCCGGCGTCGCTTCCGATGCATGTAAATAGCGGAGAAGCTCGTCCGGGAATTCCCGAAGGCTAAGAGCCGTTGGGGCCCCCTTCGTTACCATTCGCAAAGCCCGCGCCGCACCGGGGACAACGTTCCCGACGAGCCGGCAACTACTCCGAAGTCCTTCCTTCCGACGAAGATGGGCAGGACTTCAATGCAAGAAGTACACCAAGATAAAGGAGGAGAGTGTGTTGTAAGCCGTGACATCATGAAACTGCAGTTACAAATTCAGCGAGCCAGTTCGCGCTTGCCTTACGATCCCCCCGTCATCCCCATCGTTCGTCTTCGTAAGAAGAAATACGAAGACGGACTCTTATAATCCGCGAGGATTTCTCTCGGACGGGTTTAAGACTAGTCCATGTCACGTCAGCCGGGCCGAACTTGGCAGCGACGCGAGAAGGCGTCCGTGGGGCCCCCCTTTTCCCTCATCCCGATATTCCAGGATACGTTTATCTACGACGAAGAGGGTAGCGGTAGGGCGAGTGATGGCGGTGGGAGCAAGACTCGCTGAGGGATCGAAACTTATCTACTTGCTCAACTAGCTCCGGTACAGCAGCACCCACCCTTATCCAGTCGTAGAAACTTCGACCGACCCTGAGTCGGCGGGCCAACTTCCACGCGAGATACGCATTTCTCAAATCTGTTCTCGTCGCTGTAAACTTAATTCCGGCTGCTTCGGCTGCTACTATCGCGCGCGCCGGAGTCTTACCATCGACGTGCGTGAAAAATGCTTCGGGAAGGAGCTTCGTCGGAGAATCTTCACTCGAATGGTTTTCGCTAAGACCTTTCCGAGGTAAAATGTATCTCCGATGATACACCACCGCGATAAGAACCGAAAGGATAAGTGCATAGCTCATGCCAGTTACGGTCGTAAAATTGCGCCGATATTTGTGCGGAAGATAGCGCGTTTATAAATGGTCATTGTTCGCGCATTTTGACACGATAAATCTATATATAAACGTTAGCAAGAATTTAAGATAAAGTCAAATTCAGTATGAAATATCTTTCGGACTGTTTGTGCGGTTTGCCATACAATTCGCGGATTTATCACGCAAACACGATATCTTTGCGCTATCTTGCGCGTGTAAATTTCTCAAGGCGCGCGATATGAGGAAGCGATACAGCGGGATAAGTCATCATTTCCGCAATCGAGCGTTTTAGAGTGTCGTCTTGCAATTAAAGCTTGATTTATCTTTTGTATCACTAATAGGACGTTACTTTGTGGAGTTATCGCGCTCGAATGCTAGTCGTTACGGAAAAAAATCTATAAGATGATGTAATTAAACTGCATGTCGGGGGCTGCGGAATGCAGACGTAAAGGACAATCATTAACCCGGAAAAAGACGAAACGGTCCCTTGGAACAATGAAACCGTTCTCGATGGAAGAGAGAAACTATTATAGACATCGCTATAATCTTAAACTATCATTTTATGACTACAAAGCAGTGGGGGCGTCACTTCCCTCGTTCTTTTTAATAGGAATATATGTCGTGAAAAAGTTACATCGATTTTGCTTACTAAGAATACAATGTTTCTCACGTGATAGTTCGCGAAGTCGGCAAGAAACGATTATGGTATATTCGACCTACTTGGGAAAACTTAAAGTGATTCAATTCGATTTAAATCCGTTTTCAGATCAAGAACAAATTTCGTAGAATCCATTTATTCGATCGAGGTAGAATTTATATACGGATTAAAGGGAAAAATGAATTAATACTGACGAGGGATATTCGAGTGACCTAAATGCGTGGGCGCGCCGATTGTTACCGGATAATAATCCTATAATATCATTAATTTCAAGATTGCAAGGCGCGATCAAATGCCAGAGGTTATTAAAACGTAATACGTCTTCGAGATAGTTTTAATACCGATGGATGTTGATGTCGGACGAACACGGATGGGTTTTGACATCCTAAAGCAGATTACGCGCAACATCGGACCTGTAATTACGCGACCGAGGATCTGCCACGATCCCGTGCGTTATCCCAACGAATTACATGACGTCATTAACAACTGTATCGCGCCGAGGAATCCGATGACGGTCACGTCAACGGCCATAAAGGATCGCCAAGAACCATCCAGAACCTGGATGGTTATTAAGGACGAGGTAATCAAGGGGGGTGGACAAAGTGAGTCGCGAAGATAAAATGGAAACCATCTTGTACGATCGTACGCGACGAAGGATAGACATCGGTGATGCCAATGAGGGTGGAGGCGGCTCGACGGTGTTGTCGAAGTTCAGTAACCCCCCTGATTGAACTCTCTGCGACTACGTGGATACAGCGTCTACATAGGTATATACTGCGCCGCAGAAGCAACGGCGGGAGCGGCAGCGGCAGCGGCACCGTGCTCAGGATCACTCCTGCATCCGCGTCAAGCCGAGGCTTTGTGGGGCCGCACGGAGGCAGGCGACCGGAGATTACAATGGCATCTCCTCCAGATTAGCATATGAATTACGATCCCCCTCATCTACTCCCTTTCTCCGCCCCCCGTACCCCGTGCCTTCTTCTGCGTATCCCCGGTCTAATGCCCTGCGCGATCTCTCTCTCGATCTCTTCCTTCGCATTTCTATATGTGCATCTCCTCTCTCTCTCCCTCTCTCTCGCTCGCTCGTTCGCTCTTTCTTTATCTCTTTTATATGTAGCACTCTATTATAATTATAATCGTGCTAGGAATCATAGGAATAACTATATGGATAGTAAAAAGGAAGCGCGCAGAACATCTATATTAGCACGGCGAAAATCGGAAATAATTGTAAACTCTATCAAAAAGAAAAAAGAGGCGACCTAAATTTTAACTTGACAGTAGATTTGCAGATTTACTTCAGAAAAACTTTCGCCTCAGATAAGCACCCAAGCCGGTTTTTAAATACGACTTTCACCGATGATATTTCGGTATAGCTCACCTGAAAAATGTAAAGGCAGCCATTTGCGAAATAACGTCCTACATAAAATATTCCAATTATCGAGTTAACTTTATCGCGTGCTCAACTGATGATGACATTTTTCTACTTTGAGCCAAATTGTGCCGAAAATATAAAAATGGATCTTATATCAAAATATAATAACGTATGAGATGAAGGGTTTATCGGTTTTATTTGTGCCCTCGTGCAGATTCGCGGAAACTTGGAGTACGGTCAGTCTGCCTCTTTTTCTTTTCCATAGGGGAGGGGTGTTGTAAGACGTAACATCACCCGGAAAAAATTCGAAAATCAGCTTGCCCCGATTTAGTAATCGGCCTGATTTCCGAACAACTTCAAAATTTTGACACATTAACTCCGATGTGGAAATCGACCTCATTGCCGAAAACTCTGAGGTTGTACTGACGCTGCAACCTACAATTGCCGAAGTACATATAAACCTCGTAAAAAAAGACAATCAGGCCCAACTGTAATCGCGAACGAGAAAAAAAGTAATAATTCAAAATCGAGTATGTGATTCATCTTTTCTCTCCTCGCAGAACAACGAACCCTTGTGCCAGCCCTGGGACAACCCCGGAGCCAGGCACAATATTCATTTTATGGCGTGACGAAGTATTCCGCAAAGTTAGTTCTGGTTCAGTTACGAGCAACGTGTCAGAAAAATATAAAAATTATAAAAGCGCTTATGAGAGAGAGAGAAACACTCTTGTTTACTGTAGTATTTATTTGAATATTTCATAGATATTGAATATTTTTTTGGACGGAAATTCATAGAGAAAAAAATGTATTTTGCTATTCGTAGTTTAACTTTATCTTATTTTAGTGACAGTTTTAATTATAACTATTTTCTCTTCAATTTCTAAATAATGAAAATTTATAAGAGTATTTAATATATTCAAAGAGAGAGAAACATATTAAAATTAAATTTAGTACAATTTTAGAGATTTAATTAGATCTATCTCTTAGTATTATTTAAAATATTGATTTAATTTTTTGAAAAGGAGAATAATAGAAGACTAACAAATACATTTCTTTTACAACATTCTGATTTGCTAATTGCTCACTGCAACAAACGCAATAATTACCAACAATTCAATAGAACTGACATTTGACAGGCTTATAATAATCCAGAAAAATATTCATTATTATACGAATAAAACGCGAGATTTGGGTATCATCCGCGTCGAACCGCATCGTATCGTACAAAACGTTTCGCTTTGTTCTCGTTGTCCAGCGAGACGATAATTTCCCAAGAGTTAATTCCTCTTTCGCTTCCGCTCGGGAAGTCGAAGGAAAGAGGACGCGAATGGCGCGTTAACACTTAGCTCCGGCGACAAAGGTCCAATTTTTGGTCCCCACGGTATCCTGACGCGACAATGAGAGCGAACTCCCGGCGAAAAGTACCCGGGGCTAAGGACAGACGGGATATTCTCCGACGAGGAGAACGACGAGGCGTTGATACGCCGAAGGGAATCGAGACGGGTGTAGGCGGTATGGGGATTGCCGGGGGTGAAAAGAGAGAGGGAGGGAAGAATCTGCGGAAAGCGGGGATGCAACGAGGCTGCAAGTCAGGCGAGAATCTAATTTCCCGAGACAAATCCTTAAATGTGCCCCGGAGCCCGGCTGGAAGGCGCGAGCCGAGGCATCTCATGGAATGAGCTCTCGTCTAGCATCCGCGACAACGACCTTTAACTCGACTCGCCAATTCTGCGTCTCCATAACCCCCTCGCGAAACGCGTCATTAAGCTCATTCACGCGGGAAATGCGGTAGATCGAAAACAGAGCGTCGCAATCCGGGATGCAGTCGTGGTCCGAGATCTAACTGGAAAAACATGAACCCCCCCCCCCTCGGTGCTTTTTGCTCGAACGTCGAAATTGCTCGGCGCAGTAAATAAAGGTGTCGTCTCTTATTTAATTTAACGACAATAAAGACAAAAGAATGAAATCGTTTGGAAAAATCTGAAATAAGTTCATATTCATCAATTTTAATATGGACCCTTGCGAGATATTTCTCAATTAGTTAAAATCAACGTATTGAAGTGTTTATGGAAATTATCTGAGTGAATTTCATCACCGCAAATAGCACAATATGAGTCTCGAATCTTGTTACCGGTGCTATTGATATTTCGTGATAGTTTAATTCCTGCGATTATTAAACTGATTCTATTATGCCCATGACCAATATTATATTATGAAAATTAGGTTGCTATAATTACAAGATCTAATTGTATTGTTAAAATGATAAATACCTATACTTGATATTTAACAATAATCAAACGAAATATACATTTTAATGGGACTTAATCGTTGCTACGTAAATGAATTCGGTGTAGTACCTGAAAACCGATTAGTAATAACGATCAATTTGAATATAAAATAAATTTGCAAGAGAAATTTTCGCTCAACGCAGCGATATCTTTTAAAAGGCATCGATTCTTTTACAAATGGCATTCTTATTACTTATCATAAATTTTTTTTATAATCTGATAGGTCGTATCGTATTCATCACGCAGAAGATCCGATCAAAAGAAATGTCCTGTACTGTACGAGTATGGGAAGGGTACGATTCGCAGTTATCGAATTGAATCTAGCGAGGATTCATATAGACGACGAATAGTGTATTTTTTGGGTCCAATGCCATTTCTTTGTTTCTGTTCTGTATTCCAGAGTGCATGATGGACGACGGGAGCGCCTGTGCCATCTTCTGGAAGTAGGAAGCACCGGTTTCGGCCGCTGAAGGTAACTTCGACTTCCAGGAGATAGCTAGCTTCCTTCCAGTACCTCTATTCTTCTTCTCCGCAAATTGGCAGAAAGAGAACTTCCCCCCTCGATGAAATGAGAACAAAATGAATAAGGAAAAAAGAAACGGGTCCAACTAACCCAGCCCCCCCCCCAACTTCTCTCCCGCTAACATCACGCCAACACCGCTGATTCAGCCAGCACAGCCCGCCGCAAAGTTCATTTTGCCGCTCGCTAGTGTTTGAACCACCGAACTCCAACATTCCCTCACGAACCACTATCCCTTAGCCCGACTTAGCGCAGCCGGTACATATCTATCCGCCGGAGAGGCTAAATTTGCACAAAGTGCACGGTGCTTGTCCAAATTCTTTCGCAAAAAGGTCTCGAATTTCTCCGGAGCTTTCGACACACACACGCGCGACTCATTAGGACTCTCGCGCGTATGTTTAAGATATGGGATTCGTATGTACGTCCGTGGACTTTTTGTTTCTGGATTGGCACAAACAATTGGCTCGAAATTCGAAAGCTCGATTTCACCCCGAAACACAATTCCGAAATGTCAAAATCTCTTCGCTAACAAAATTCTCGAGATGCGCTCTCGAGCTAAAAATTCAATCGTAATAACTCGCACGCTCTTCCGGTAGCGCGCACCACTTATCCGCGCGATGAAAACGATTGTTATATTGGGCTCCTCTATGCCAAGTCTCGCCATATCCCCCTTCTCATCCGTTTCTCATCCGGCACGATACGCATCGTTTTACGCATTACAGAAGGTATTATAGACAGTGTTGTGCGTACCCACATGCGTGACTGAAACCTGTAGCCGTAAACTTGTCGTTCGTGTTTTTTGCTCTGTTTATTACGCACCGCCGTTACATCACACTACTGAAGCTTCGTTACGACGAAGCGTGCGTGGCGTGGACGCTCTTAGAATTCTACAGACCGGCACAATGGACCGAGAGTGATGCAGAATATATATGAGAGAGAATTCGCGGTCTTAGAGCGTCTACCGACCGTACGACAGCAACGACCCTTTGCTCCGAGTACCGAGTTTATTGTACGTTTCTAAGTCCACAGTTCCGTCGTCTCTTACATTCCCGAAACCCCTGTCTAATCTCATATCCATATTCGTATGGACAAAACCATCTTGATCGTACATATTATATATATATAAATAAATATTATATATATATACATATACCGCTCTTTACAGCTATGATCATATAATAGTGGCTCGCTCGTTGGATGTGTTGTCTCGTTCGTTGTCAATGTGTTTTTTATCACCTCTGTACATATTTTCTGATTATGATATAATATATGTGAGCTACATTTATCTTATTGTATTACCTAGATTTGATTCTATATATGACAATTTATATGACATCCCTATTTCTCAACAGTCGACCGAACCACCTCTCTCCAACCTGCTACATTCCGTTCCCAGTTCGATTGGAACTCTTTCCTGTGTTATCCCACTAATTGTGAATCTCGCACAGCCATGATCGTGTTATATACTGTTTGATATTATACGAGGATACACACACCACACACACATACACATACACCCGCTGATACACATTCAGTGCAGATATTTCTAAACAAATTTACGTCGCTAATTTGTCAAAATTTGTCTTATAACTTGTAACTACTATAACCATTTTAGGATAAATCTAGCTTACACAAAATCGAAAGTACTTTCAAAAGCGGAATTGACCAAAATCTTTTGTCGAACTGTTCTAAGCATCCACCTCAAAAACAAACAAAACGGAAATCGGAATGATTTTACTATCTTGAAAAATATTCGATCAAACTCGGAATACCATCAGAGATGTGAGAGAATCTTTAAAACATTCACTTAACATGAAACACATCGTACGGTTTACCCGTTTTTCCTGTCATTCAACTTTCCGCGCAGAGCTTAGAAATAGCTGCAGAATATAATAAGTATTCATTGTTAAACTTTGTGTAACGGTGATCCATCTCGAGAATACATTACGTTTTCTGTCCGCTAAATAATTAATAATTTAGCAAAATTGTTTCTACGGCCGTAAAAAAAAAACGGAAAAACATTATTAACTCGACACGGATCACCGTCGGAAGTGTCAGCAACAATTGGATCGCTTAATATCCTACCTGATTTTATCGCGATATCGTTTGTCGTTCGTTTTCGGTTTTGATATATATTATAATATCGAACGTAGATCAACATTGGTTGGATTATTTTTCTTATCTTTGTTATTACGATTTCCGTTACCGTCCCCCTCAAAGTATCGTTTCCACTGTTACATATATGTATGTTACATTGTTATCGGTTATGATAATTGTTCTCGTGGTTGTTCTTGGTTACTATTGTCGCACAGAAGACACATATAACCCGTACACACACGTACACATACGCGGTTTCCAGTGCTATTAGATGTACACGTTGACGTAATGACAAGTGTAACTGTACGCGTCGAAAATACCGTACGCGTGCACATACAAATATGTTACGTTTTTATATATATATATTATCTATATATCCCTATCTCCCTCCCTTTAGGATGGTGGATGCTGGTGTAACCGTGTAACTTTGTCGTTCTCGGTGTTAGCCGCAAGATCTTCTCTTTAACGCCTACAACGCCTTAGCACGCATACGGAACTGACTAACGCTGTTCTTTCTTTTTTTTCTCTGTTCCCTCTATTTCGCAACGCGCCGTCGTCAACCCGCAGACAGAAAGCTGTTCGTTGGTATGTTAAGCAAGCAACAAACTGAAGACGATGTGCGACAGCTGTTTACTACCTTCGGTTCAATAGAGGAGTGCACCATCCTCCGTGGACCCGACGGAAGCAGCAGAGGTGAGTGCCAGTTTTTTACATAAGTATATTTGATAACGCATGATTAGTAATCATTAGTATATACGAACAAGATGCAAATAATCAATTTTCTCAACCTTTCTCGAAATAAATATCTCCTAGGGATAACAACGGGATAGATTTAAGTATCGTCTCCTTTTTTTTTACTTTAATTTTGTATTCGTCGATAGAAATTTGAAGAAAATTCATAAAAACATATGTGAGAATCGCAAATACTACGACCACGATTTATTATCATAAAAAGTTCAAAGATCGTCGATAAAGGAATCTAAAAATAGCGTGCTTGAGTCCCTGAGGGATTAAGCACGAAAACGTATCCTCTCTAGAAGAGACTAAGTGTACCGTAACGTGGTGCACGTATATTTTTATGTCGTGGGATAAAAGCATAGGCACATTGTCCATAAAAATACGGGTATCTGTGCAATTTTTAGCCGCAGGGCGGGATATTCGCGTCCCTCTTTACTGCACGATCGTTTCACGTCTTCGCCGCGCATTTTACCTTTCCCACTCAATTCATACAATTTTAATCCTAAAAAAATCAGCGAATATAACAATCTGATGCAAAAGCTTGCGTTATTTCAACGCTGTTGTTTCATTTTTTTTTCTACTAGCGCATAAAAGCAAATTTCGTAATGTACAGAACGTAGCAAATGCACATTGTAGGTTTTAGTTCCTTTTAACGTTTAACTTTAAATGTTTAAATTGCAACCAGTTAATTATAAATTTGTTGAAATAAAGTTAAATTTTATTGTTAAATTCATAGTGTAAAATTGTATTCAATTCAATTCATTTTTAACTATTCCTATAGGTCGCCACTGCTCCTACTCAATACGTCGTTAATTTAACTAGAACAATGTTGATTTTAAACCAATGCAGTTAATATCATACTATTTTGTGTTAAAATAATAGATATTATAATAAATTTCGACACATAGTAATTAAAAATAAACAAAATGTTATTTAACTCACAAAATTTCATTTTTTAATATTTAACAGTGTTGAATTAGACAAAAAATGGAATTTTTGTAATCTGTCTGTACCGAAAAGGCTAACATTTTAAGAATCTTTACATCTTTACTACATAAAAAAAAACCGTGACATGTTAAAGAAAAATTAGTTCTGAAATAATCAAAGAAATGAAAAAGAGATAGTGTGGTAACCTTTTGGACACTTTGTACATCAGTTATCTGAGAGAGCCACGAAGCTCATAATCCGCGGTGTCTTCAGGCGTTTTCATCGAACGATGAAGCGAGCAAAGAGACTCTCCGGAGCACCTGCTTTTCAGAGGGGTAAGGGCAAACGGACTCCGCGAAATTAATCACGAGATGAGGCAGCAAAAGGGAGGAAGGGCGACTATCTCAAAGGAAAGAAGGCAATTGCCTCGACCAAGCATTGCGAGAAAAAAAAAAAAAAGAAATGGCAGTTCACCGCCTGACGATGATGCACGACTAAGCCCAGGCGGAAGGATATAATCGCGACGGCATTTGAATATCCGCTCGCGCTGTAAACAGCGCGGAAGGGTAGGTAGGTAGGCGGCATGGGATGGATGTAATTCAGGCGGGGATAACTGGCAGAATGGCGGACGAAAAGTGGGTGCGGAGCTGCAGTCGGACGAAGCGGCGAGAGCAATAATTTCCGCTGGACGAGGCGGCGAAATTTAAATATTTTCATTCAAGAGTGAAGACCTCGCGATGCGTCTTCACTCGGTGAGCAACGAGGGGGGGAGGGCGAGAGGAATAGGCAACGAGCTACGGAAGAGGTGATCGAAGAAAATGGGAAAGCAAGAACGCGGACTAGCGAGAAAGAGAAAAGGGAAAAGGAAGAAAGGGGAGAGGAAAGAGTGAGAGCAGAGAGGAGATAGGGCAAACCGAGGGGTGACTGGGAGAAATAAGGAAACGGGATAGGAAGGGCGCGGGTAGGCAGGCGCGAATGTAATTAAATTCCACTTTGAAGTGAAACTCACTTTCAGCAGTTAATAAGATTTTGATTCGCAGTCGGTGACGTAACGCAGCGCGCCCATCGTCTTTGGCAGGTAGGCGCTGCTCGCTCGCGACGATGAAGGAAGTAACGGGGCGGCGAAGGGAGGGAGGGCGCCGGGGAGGAGAAGTAACGGAAGTAGTATGCGAGAGAAGAGCTTTACAATGTGCGAAGTCTGGTGCTCCTTCGCTTCCAGCAAAGACCAAGCCCACCCGCCCGGCCTCTCCCGTCCTCTACGTTCTGCCGTTGCGTCAGAGCTCCGGTTCTTTGCCGAAAGCCAGGACGATGTTGCGCCAGCTTTCCGAGCTCTTTAATTAAAATTACGCGGGCGACGCGCAGCGACGACGACAGTTTCCAACCGGTAGTCGGTTTATCACGTAGAATGCATTCGCGATTACTCGCCGAGAATCTCAGGTATGTCGCCCCCGACAATTACAATACCTTTGACGAAATGAAGCACGCGAGGTCTGAACGCAATCTCAAGCTTAATCTCCGTTTTACAAAGTTGACCTTCCGACACGGTAGGCAGGGTCGATTGGAGACGACCGTCAACCGACGTTAACCACACGCGCGGCTGCATTCATTTCTCCGAATCTCCCGAATCTTCGGGAAATGATTCCAATTCTATCCTCGCTCTCTTTCTCTCTCTCTCAACTAACGCTTAGAGCGCGAATCTTCCAGAGATAATTCCGCCGCAACTTCAACCGCGACAGTCGTCCTTGGACATTGGTATCAGAACCAAGTTACTTGGCGGGGATGGATATGCTCGCCGTGGGAGAAGGGCTTGATCGCTTATTCCGCGCAACTCCACCGCGGCATATCCCACGCCCCGATCTCGTCCCGGCGGAAACTTTCCCAACACGCTTCATCACCGCTCACCGAGCCTCGGTCGAGTTTCATAACTAGCTAATCCGACCCGTAATAGAGAGATCAGGCAAAGCTCCGACGAACGCGGCCGTATATATATATACATATATATATATATGTATACGTATATACACACATATATACACATAAATATATATATATACATATCGCCATGCTACGAGTCTACGCGGCACCGAAATTACAGCGGGGAGGATATCGTTTCGGTAACTCTTATTCCGGTATCATCCGTCAGTAAAGCGCAGGGATCAGTTACACGTCGGAAATGTAAGCGCACGCGGCCGGAATATCCCGTTGACACACGTAACTCGCGCAACTTCCGACAGCCGATGTGACCCCCAATGACGATAAAAGTTTTCTAATACAAATTGAGCGTTAAATATATATATTTATAACAAAGTAAGAACAGCGTGTTTTTTAAAAAAAGCATGTGAGGAGATTGTGAGTTTCTGCACTACGACTTACTCGTCTGTTAGTCGCTTCGACGTCTTACGCTGTCCCAAGTTTCCGAACGTTGAAAGAGGAAGACCGATCGTCGTCGATGTTTCAAGCGGAGCGCGGCACTAAATCATAACGATGCCGCGAAATCACCGAAAATCCAGACGAAGCGGCAGGGGTTTGGATGCAGACACGCGAGTCCGGGGACGGTAAATCACGGGCAGCCTCCTCGTCGAGTGGCTGTCGGAGAGTCCTGGTGCCAGCTCGTCGTACGGAGCATTTATTAATCGCTCAGCTCCTAAATCCCGTGGCGCAGCTGGGCTCGAAATGTTTGTACGTATTGCAAAGTAAAGCGCGAGAGGGGACGCCGAGTCCTCCGGGAGAGGATTAGGTCGGACATATTGAGAGCTTCCACCCGAGAGCACCCTCCTTCACGGGTAGAGTAGCGCCAGAAGGTGGCGGCGATGCTTACACCAAGAAGATGGTAGTTTTACCGCTATAAATATGACCGGTCATCTCGATATAATACGAATATACGCGATTCTAGCACGATTCCGATTGTTTTTTTTTTTCCAGCGCGAAACTTAATATTCGTTTTGTAGATACGGCGCAGAAACGTTACGTTTTTGTATTCTACAATTTGCATTGTGTCGTAATAAGTAGAATCATTAATGGAAATTACTGCTTGATAACTGCACGGTCCTGCAGGATAATGAGGATGGACAAGTTTATAGCCTCGCGATAATGAGGGTATACCCGTAAAGCGCAGGATATTTTTCCTATAATCCCCGCGACAGTAATAGGCCGTTCCTGCAATAATGGAGGCATACGCTCCATATGTGCGTGTCGAAGATAAAGAACGCAAATTGTCGGCGCGTATTAAGGCACGATACATACCGAGCGCACGGACGCGCCGGTGCAAGTGACAGCCGAACGATTAATCGTCGATAACCATCGCTCGTTTAATGCCCCATCATAAAATGCTAGACTGAGGAAATTATTGATTCGTCATATTTCCCGCGAGCGATATCGTTAACACGGCCATCACAATCTCTTTACGTCGCACGGTCAAAAACCGAAGCTCCATCGAAAATGATCGGAAATGATTTCGCTCGAGCGAATGCGAGTGCCGTGCCGCCCTCGTGGTGATACAATCGCCGAATTGGAGCGACGATTTAAAGGGCGCTAACTATTGCCACGACGATACACCGCACTAACACAAACGCGCTGAGAAAATAACCGATTACACGCCGTTCGTATTTAATCCCTAAATACTCGTTTGTAGTCAATGAAACGCATACACTAACGGATCGACTGCAAGAACATATTGACACAGAACACTCGGCAACTTGCTAATTGCAGAAAATGTCACTTGTTTTTAGTTGTCTTCTCGATTAAAACTCCGTCGTTTAATTGGCGCGAGATCACTAATCGAATATATGTTTCATATGTTTGTATGTGACACATCAGAAGCTTTAAGTTTGCATAAAGTGATAGACGTCATATTAGTACTTGGATGTTAAAACCGAGTAAATTAGCATCCGCCGCATCCCTTAAGGTGAGATCTTGAAGCGAACGATATAATGTTTCTCGTAATTGCATTGTTCGCGCAGTAACTCGCGAACTCATGATCTATTGTACTTCTCTTGTGCCCGGGGGGTGGTTAAATGTTACATAATGCC